CTGATTTTTTGGAGACCTATTTATTTCTACATGCGTTTTCAACTCTAACAATATCGATGTGCCTATTATTTTGGTGTATTTTAAAAACTGTCTTCCTAGTGAAATTTGGTTAAATGCCTGAATCATAAATTTTACTGGTTACGTGGCAGTTCATAAAATAGCCTTTAACGACAGTCTAACGAACAACCTACCTGCTTTCCATGCTTCAACAGGATGCGATACAACGAGTCAATTTACTGGAATGGTAAAAAAGTTCCATTTGGAAGATCTGTTTAATATTATTTAAAAAATTGTAATAAAACTATATTCGTTGTAATTTCTTTTAATGTATTAAGAGTTTTAACGGCCTCTTCAACAGAGCTATCTATCTATGCTACCCCCAACCAGTGTCAGATTGGGTCGTAAGCCGTCGGTCTACCGGTCATAAGATCGGTAGGCCCTCCTTCAAGCTCCCGCTCAGGCAGAACAAAGAAAATTTCTTAATACGTGACAGCCACGGAAAAAGCATCAGTGTGCACAGATCTTTTTTTACTCTTCAATGAACCTGACCATGAAAACAAATGTATAGGTGGGTCCTTCTCCCTCCTGAACCGGTAGGGCCTATGGGCCCCAATCCGACACTGCCTCCAACAGACGATTCCTTAGGCTTCTTACCAAACCAAGATTTGGTTAAACTCTTAACTAAAAATGGAAATTCCAGGTTTTGAAGAGGATAGCGAAGAATTAGAAGACGATGAGAAAATTTAATACGATTTTTAAAAAAGATTGTAAGTTGTGGTTTTTCTAATAAAAAATATGAATATCCATGCTCTTTAAAGATATACAGGGTGTCCCGAAATTAGACGGTCATATTTTAAAAGCGTAATCTACATCCTAAAATAGGAGTAAAAGTTAATATAAACATAGGTCCAAAAACGTTTCTTTTCCGAGATACAGGGTGTTGGAAGTTAAGTACTGATGACACACTTTTGTAAATTTTTTCAAAACGTTTATAGATAACTCAGTGAAATTTAGTACAAATGCTAACCTTTTTACGCTCTATTTAATGGGCTAAACTCCAGTTTTTGATCATCGTCATAGGTGGGTAAATTGGGGGGTTAGGGTAAAATTGACCTAAGTTTTTTTTGTTGGCAGTGTTTAACATTTTTGACTATAAAATTTGGAAAACCAATGAAAACCAATGAAAACCAATGAAAACCAATGAAAACCAATGAAAACCAATGAAAACCAATGAAAACCAATGAAAACCAATGAAAACCAATGAAAACCAATGAAAACCAATGAAAACCAATGAAAACCAATGAAAACCAATGAAAACCAATGAAAACCAATGAAAACCAATGAAAACCAATGAAAACCAATGAAAACCAATGAAAACCAATGAAAACCAATGAAAACCAATGAAAACCAATGAAAACCAATGAAAACCAATGAAAACCAATGAAAACCAATGAAAACCAATGAAAACCAATGAAAACCAATGAAAACCAATGAAAACCAATGAAAACCAATGAAAACCAATGAAAACAAATGAAAACCAATGAAAACCATGAAAATTTCATGATAAGTTGATGTTATCTTATTCGAAAGTGTAAACAATAATTAGTAGGCCTGTGGAATCAGAAATTTGATTTTTTTTTAACTTTTGAAAACCGGTGACTTTTAGAATTTTAGAAAATATTTACAAAAATGTGCCATCAGGACTTCACTTGTAACACCCTATATCTCGAAAAATAAACATTTTCGGACCTATGTTTATATGAACTTTTATTCCTATTTTAGGATGTAGATTATGCTGTTAAAATATGACAGTCTAATTTCGGGACACCCTGTATATTAAAGTTGAGGGAGAGCTCTTTCAGTGTCAGATATTTTACCATTCTAATTTTACTCCTGGCACATTTTTTTTTTAATATTTAGTAGGTGTTATTACTAATAATTAATTTATTCGAGACCCCTATTTCAGAGGTCATATATACAGGGTATCCCAAATTATATAAAACGGAGACAGGTTAAAGATCTCATAATTTTAAGCAAAAAAGTTCACAATGGTCCGATTTCCATAATTAGCAAAGTTACTGGTGTTTCAAAATTAATAGAAATGATACATTTTCAGTTGCACGCTACTTGTGATATTTAATATTTTCTTGGTTTTAAATTAGTTATCTAACTTTTACATCTCTTGACTTTTGATCGAGTTTTGATCAATGTTTACATGTTAATATAAACTTTTTGGCTCACAATTATGAAATCTATAAACTGTTTTAATTGGATTCGTACAATTTAGGACATCTGTATAAAACATTATCAGAACTACAATAGTTTATCTACAAAAAAATCAAGATTGGTTGTCCGTTGTGTTGATAATAGTATGAGCCGGGCTAGTTTCGTAGTGTGATAGAGATAGATATATGTTTACAATCATAGGTGCAACTAAGATGTATTATACAAAGCGATAACACCGTTGCCCGAGTGTAGATCACTCGCGGCAGCCGTTTTAATTGATTTTTTTTATATTAATTAACATAAGTTGATTATCATAAGACATAAAAATATGTTTCATGTTTTGTTATGATTTAAACACATTTTATAAACTTTTATAAAGATTAACTTTTTTTGTTTTAAAATCTTGTTTAGCTAATTTCGTAGTGTTAACATAAAAAGTACATTTTTCTCAATATTTTCTTGAGATAAAACATTTTTAATTTTTTTGGACTGTAAGCCCCGATGTTTTTTAAATGTTTAAAATAACACATTTACCTAACTTGTAAAGTGACTTTTTGGATTTTGCGGTCATATTGTAGTACACGTTACGCTCTATGCAAAGGTACCAATCATTTTTTGAAAATAGTGCTCTTAAAACATGGTCTAATTTTGGATTACCTTCGGTCTTAGAATCTCCAAAATATTAGTTTTCAATAAATTAACAATTTAGCTTGTGACACTCAGCCCCCCACAGAAAGCATAATTCCGATTGACTGGCACTACACTAATAGAGCTTACTTGACTTCAAGGAAACGACCATCTAACTTAAACTGTTTTCGTCGTGTATTTTGTTCAACACATGTCTCTAAAAATAACGAAACTATAAAATATTAGCCTATGAACTTCTAAAAATGTTTGTGTGGTACTGATTAAAAGTTTATTTTCGGTTATAAAAATATATTTTCAAAAATTGTTTGATGTGTCATTATACACAAATTCATAAATTCCACATTTTAAACGGTTGGGCCAACTTTCACTGAGACAGGGCTCGTATTTAGAATGATAACATAAATAATGATAAAAACATCAATAAGGATCCATGTTAAACTACAGAATTGTGACAAGGGTGGACGTGTGGTATTAAAAGGGACTATAATAAACTTATAATTATAAATGCAAAAATTAGAAATTAGGAGACAAAGGATTAACTTCTTTTCAGAGCTATATGGGTTTTTAACTTCAATTGTAATTATTGATTCAAAAACAATTGAATTTAGGTTGTACACTCTTTTAAATTCCATGATTTACATCATTATTTATTTTACTCCTTTGAATCAAAGCAGTATTTAAGAGTTAGTGAGCCCAGATTGTTTAGATTAACCAAAGATATATAACCAAGATTAATAGTCTTCCCGCTTTTCATATCCGAACACTATGTAATAATACTTTACAATTTTTCAGTATCAATTTAAGTTAGAATCGATAAAAATTGGTTTGTTTTGTTTTTTATTTGTATCAGTGTGGCTTCTACTTATATTTCCCATCGCCATTTTAGACATTGCATTTTTAATTAGAACCCAACAAATGAATGATTGAGTGGAGATACCCAGATTTAGTAGAATTCGAACCTGAATGTTGTCTCTAACAAATAAGCTACCCCCGCCCTAGATATTTTTTAAATTATTAAATAATAAAAAAATTATTCTACGAATTATTTCGACTACTCCACCTGTTTAAAGTCATTAAGTACACAATTATCCATTCAATTTATATTTTTTATAACGGAACAAAGATTGCTCATAGATACCAAATATCCTTAGCAAGGTTACCATTATGTGTTATGAAAAGCATAATTTTCGAAAAGTAAAACCGCACTTCACACCTCATTTGACACTACAAAAAAAAAATCAGAAACCGAACCAATCAACTGACCGTCATTGGCGTATAAAATAATTGTTTATTGTTATTATAAAAAAAGTTTACTTGATAAAATAGGTAGGTATTTCAAAAAACTCAAGAGGACCAAATTTCTTCCCTTCCACTTTGATGAATAAAAGATAAAAAAAAAAGAAAATGATATAGAAAAAGATGATAATGATGAAGAAGAAGCTATTTTATATCTATCCCATCTTTTCCTCCTCATCTTCTTTTTCACTCATTTGCTTTATTATATCTTCATTAAATCCAAGCCAAATTACTTAACATGACCATCCTTTGAATTGTTTTTGTATTCCTCATAGACTCGATTTTTCTACTTACTTTTAGTAGTTTACTTTAATTCTTTGCTTGCATCCCGTACTTCGGCAACATCTGCTAATGCTTTTATTAAAAACAATTTTTGTTTCTTTGTTGATTCATTTCATCGTTACCGTTTTTTAAGATTTTGCTTATGTACTAACTTTCGAGTTTGGGTAAATACGTTTCTCTGATACTAATTTATTAATCCTACAGAGCAAATTTTAATTTGCTATATATCCTCCCCCTTGTTTAAAACTAACTTGTTTGTTCTTTGGATTATTATTAATCCATGATTATTTCTAGAATAAAAAGCCATAGATAAAACCAAAATTACCTTACATTTATGACCCAGATCCAAGGCCTTTACTAATACGTAGTGACGAAGGCCTGTCCGATTTAGTGGTGACACATATAGAAAAACTCTTAACGAAAATCCGACAGATTTTCGTGACCATGGATGAACTCTATGAAGTTAGAAAAATCAAAATTTCTTTCTTTAAACCACCCATAAGTATGGTAACTATAGTTACGCCTATGTGAATGTCATACCCCAGACGCGCTCATTCATTTCTTCTATGTGCCCGTTCAACCAAGACATTACTTTACAAAATCTTAACTATAAATGTCTAATTAACGCTAAAACAGCTTAGTTTCCTCTAATTCATTATCACTAAACAAACAATGATCGCACAGTTTTTATTTTTCTGCATATTATCCTTCTTCTTTTCAATAGTCCTTAGCGAGGACTTTTTCCAAAGCCCTGTATACAAGTATAGGTACGAAACGGAAGATGTGATGAAAACAGCAGCTTCCAATGTTCCTGTAAGGGGCTACCATGTTGTCGAAGGGGGGTATTACCCCTCTGAAGTGGGCGCGGGAGGTTTTGGAGGCCTTGGAAATTTTGGTGGAGCCGGGTTGGCTAGGGCTCCTACGGGATATAGGTAAGAATATAAATATATCAATAATTTGTACTTTATTTTTATTGTTTTATTATTTGAATTTCGAGAATTTTCAATATTACAATGCACTCCCATTCTTGGAATATTGAAGATCCAAGAAGAAACGAATTTGACATTTTCTGAAAAAATATTTTAAATTCAGCACTAAATTCACTTTGGTGAGATTTATTAATTCATTAACAAGGCCTTCTACTTCTAATTGGACCAAATTTATGGAATACCATTGAGTTTATTTAGTTTTATTTTCATTATTATTAATAATTAAAAATATCTGTGTATCTAAGTGTCCAACAAAGAACTGCCTTGTAAACTTATCTAATATATAATGAGTACGGCCAATTTAATCAAAAAGTGTTTATATTATGATTATTTTACACTCATATTTTATTCGTACCATTTTTTCATGTCTTTATTGCCAACGAAAATAATGAAAAAATTCAAATCAATTTACTTAAATTTCTCCATTACGGTCCATTTTGGAAAAATAGTTTATATAGGTACCAAAAATTATAGAGAATGTTCCGACTATGCCCAAAATCTAATCAGCTTGAGTTTAAAATTTGGTGTTTTCTCTCTTGGTGTTTGTTTTTGAGTTATCGTGGATACAGACACACACACACACACACAGACCGACTAACACCATCGAGAAAATGGTCAAAACTGATTCAGGTTACCCTAAAACATAAAGATCCGTCAAAAACCCAGGATCAACAAAAATCATGATTCCTATACCTTCCTTACTGGTTACAGAAAAGTAAAAATCATTATTTTTGTTTTCAGTGGTCAATTCCTGTCTCCCCAAATAGCCCCGATTGGCGCTGGCGCTGGCCATTATGGTTCCATCGGACCTCAATTATCTGGCCAAATCATCCCAAGATATACCACCGGTAATTTTTTAGGAGGAGGCGCTGCAGGCCTGGGTCTAGGCGGCGCAGGTGTAGGTTTTGGGGGCGGCCATCACTACTACCCCCACCATATTGGGGGTGAAGAAATCGCTAAAGAGGAATTTAGCGGTGGAAAGAAGAACGTAAACGATGAGAAGTACGAGAAAAGCGAGGGTAAAAAAGGAGAAGAAGTTAATCATGGAAAAGCCGGATATAGTAAAGGAGAGGTTGCCGCTAAAGATGTTAAAGGCGATTCTGGATTTTACAGTAATGTTGATGGAGAGAAGAAAGTCGTAGAGGATGGGAAAGAGTACCATGGTGGACAGCATTATAATAAAGAAGGTAAATTAAGGGGATATTAAAAGGATTACTACCTATAAAGACCGGACAATTTAATTTATTCTTATCAGCGAAGTAACGGTAAGAGCGGACCTTCGATTTGAATAATACATTCTGAATAAAACAAGTTATTTACTGAACTGGTCGACACAGTAGATAAGATATTGGATTTTTATCGCCCGGGCGTAACATTTGGGGCGGGCTTATTATTACATTTACATTGCAATAATTATTTTATTAAATTTTAGTTCAAATTTGGTTGGATATTATTATATAATTACAAATGATATTATTATTTATTTTTTTATTGTGTTGTGGGATAATGTTGTTGGCTTTTTCTGTTAATATATTATTGACTAATAAATATATCAACGAGGATACACCATCATTAGTTTTATGTTTAGAGTGTTCCAATATACACTCTTTATCCTAAAGTAGCAAATATACAATTATATACAATATATACAATACAAATTAATATCAATCTTCTTCATTTGAAAAATATGTTTGTATGACTGCATATTTTTCTAAATTGTCTTCAGTGAAATTACTTCTTTTAGAAGTCAATAAATCTTTAAACCTAGAAAACGATCGTTCTACGTCACAACTCGTTACAGGAGCAAATGAAAAATGTGGAACAAAATCACAATATTTTAAAGCAGTTTCATAATCGTTAAAATTGTTCAGGGAGATTTGTTTCAGAGTCTGTAAATTTGGATTTCTTTTAATAACACAATCTATTTTATGGTTAAATTTATCTTGTAAGGGCCACTTTACGTTTTTTAAGTGTAACAATGTCGATTCAAATTTTTCCATAGCAACCGATAATTGTAAGTTACGGGTTTCAAGGAATTTTATAGTTTCTGGGAGACACGAAAAATAAGTCGCAAGAAAATTTAACTCCGACTGCAAAGTTGTTTTTGTTATTAAACCTTTACACTGAGTGATAGAGAGAGCGTCCTCTGATAAGTTGGAAATAAATACTTTTAGTCTGTCGAAATGCTCCGAAAAAAAGAACACAGCCTGTAACCAAGTTCCCCATCGTGTAATAACTGGTTGTGGAGGTAGGGGGATATTCGGACATATTTCTTTATATAAAGAAACTCGGGACGGTGCTTTTAACAAAATTTTTTTAAAACAGCTAATCAACGAATTAATGTCTGGAAAGCTGTCACGGATAAACTCACAAACTCGGTGTAACGCGTGAGCAAGGCAAGTTACATGCAGCATGTTTGGAAAATGTTCTTGTAATAGTTTCCCTGTTTTCAACATTACACTTGCCGCGTCTGAAATAAACAATAAAACTTTTGAAACGTCATTATCAATTACATTGTTCAATCCACGTTTCACTATTTCATAAATCATTTCAGCGTTCACAGTTTCACGAAACACACTAGAAACTAAATACTGTTGTGAAGTATTTTCAGCACTTAATAATCCTACAACAACATTAACAACACATCTACCCTTTATGTCAGTCGTTTCATCTGCACTAACCCAAATATATTTGCTGGAAATTTTCGTTTTTATTGCCGTCATTGCTTTATCGTACTGATTTTGAATATAATGTTTTCTAATTGTGGATTCATCCGGTATTTTACGTTTAGTATATTTACAAAGAAAATTTTTGAAAATTGTATTATTTAATTTTGTTAATGGAATATTTGCAGAAACAAATGCGTTGCATAAATCTTCATAAAAGATTTTGTCTGGACATCCCTCTAAAGATTGCATGTGTTTTTGTGTTTTCACATGTTGTGTCATACTTGACTTTCCATTAAAAACTAACACCTGATCACAATTGCGGCAGTATAATTTGTTGTCATTAAAACGACGAAAACAATCAAAGTCCGATAATAAATTTTCCATATTTACGTTTCCAGTTTCTATCACTTTTCCCTTTGAACTAAACAAATATACTCATTGGAAAAATCTAGTGATATTTTTACAAGACACTTTCTTCTCAAATCTCCTGTTTATCGACTCTTTGTTATCTTTTTACATTTTTTCAACCAACAGATACCTATATAGAGTGAGCAATTGAATTAATACATACATTACAGAAATTTAACAGACATTTATTTTATTGTCTCATCGTGTATAAGTACCATAATATCCACAGGAAATAAAAACATAAATTTTTTGTTACAAAAAATCGGTATGTACGGTATCGATAAAAGCCAAAATATTCATAAATATAATATAAGGATTGACTTTATTTGAATAAAAATATCACCGGCAACTAACCGACAATGGATCGAGAAAGTATAAGACAACATATGATGGGCCTATTTGACATTCATTTTAGGCCCTCTCTACAGCGTCTTAGTCCAAACGCTCGTAGAGTCCTAATATTTGGCCCCGATGCAATTTTTCCAACAATGAATCGGGACCAGCTAAGGCTAGAAATTTCCAATTTTCTGGAGGAAATAACAAATTCGGGGGAGGCAGCTGGGGTCCTCGATCCTCATTTTAGGCAGGAGAGTAGTGTACCACGCCAAAATATTGAGGAATAGATATTTTGTAATTATATAAGAGATAATAATAAAAAAAATATCATACAGAATATCGTTTACATTACTACACCTTAAACTCGCTTATGAAAAGTTTAACATCTTTATCAAAAAAGTTATTTTTTTTTAAGGAAAATTTCTCAGGCCACAAATTAAAGGATCTGAGGTTACTAAAAACTTTTGTAAAATATCCTACATATCCTCGGCGTTGGTGAGAAGAAAACATTAAATTTGTTTAATGAAAATGATTCAAAAGACAAAGAATATAGGTACACGATAAAAAAAAATCTCACTTTTTTGTATTAGTTTTAATGTCTATGTATATATCAGTACACTTTTTTTATCTTGTTTTAATAAAAAAAGGAGGTTTGTCCTGATAGTATTAGAATCTGCCGCACTGTCTGCCGTCTTAAATAGCGAACCCAGAATGAGACGCCTATGTGATTAAAACCAATTATTTGAACGCGATTAAAATGTCCGGTCTTTACGTAATGAAACAACATCAAAAAATTCAAAGTAGTTACTGCTGTTTTTTATATTATTGCATAAATAATGATTTAAATGGAAAATGTGTGCTTAAATAAGTGCAATAATGCCAAAATATAAACAGTTCTGTTTTTGTTTTGTTTTATAATGATTTACAATAAGGTAGCCTTCTTATATATCGTCTACACTTGGAGATATGTATCCTCAGTTGTAATGTCCAAGCATTTCTACCCCGCTATAAGTTTCCATTGTTATCCCCAGTCTTATTATCTTCTTAACTCAATTTCGTCTGTCTTTCTCTGCTAATTATATCTAGCCATGGTTTCTAATGTTTTATTTTGCGATTTAACTGTTATATTTTCATGCAGCAAAACTCAAACTTCGGTTTGACAACATACTTTGCGACACCTTTTACTTTTGTTTCGTTTCTAATTCAATGATGTTTTTTTTGTTCATTCTTATAGTTTTTCTTTCCACACTTTTTTGTGTTTTGGCTATTTCTTATATTAATATATTATTTATATTCTTGTTTTCAGAAGGTATTGGATTTTTTATCTTAATATCCCGTCTAGTTTCACGTAGTAGTAGCAGCAGCATCTAGCAACTGCCACCATTTACTTTTATTATATTACTCTTGATAATAACCATAATAACGATAATATACAAGGTATGCCATGAGAAGCTTACTTCCCCAAAAATGTTTAAACTTTTCAAATTAAGACATATGGTTTTGAACTTTTCAACGAATTGAGTGACCATCGCTTGAGCTTCCCAAATTATATCTAAGATGGTTTAATGTTTTCCGTGGATATTTGTTTCATAATGTTACCATCCAAGTTTTTTATTAATGGAAGTTGTTTTTTATATGGACGGTATTCTGCAACAGTGGTCTAACATAGCTCACTGGTTAGATATTACTAGATGTCGATTTTAGAGTTGCTTGATAGACCTTTTTACATGATAATCTTTATAAACGTCCTAGTGTCTGTATGTGTTTTTTAAATTTAGATTATTTTAATTATTTTTTTTTTCTTGGATGTAGTTTTTTTACAATGATTATGATAATTTAGGTAAAAATGGAGAAGAACAAACTTTAAAAAAAGGTCACAAAAAGGGCCACAAAGTAAAGAGTTTCAAAACATCTCACCATAAAGATGAATCTGGAAAATCTGAAGAATATTACGATGAAGAACATGATGAAGGAGGTAATCTCGCATTTAATGGACAAGCGGGTAGTTTTGGAGAAAATGGAGCATCGTCCTTTAAAGGTACACCTTTTATATATTTTAAAATGTTTTCTGTTGGAAAGATATTGGAAAAATATATTAAATACAGAGTATTCTGTAATAATGTTCCAATATTTTACCAAGATGTTCTACCGCCTATTGATACATTTTTTTAATTGTGGTCCTCTCTGTCGAGATATTTGGATTTCAAAAATTTTTTTTTTAAAACATTTAGACTTGTATGTTGTAATTTTGGTACAAGTTTTTCTTTAGTCGAACCCTATTTTGTGATGGTGTCTCATCTTTCAGTTTATGTTTTATGTTATTATTTTAGAAATATCAAATGCCACATACAAATTTAACATAATTGTTATAATAATTTTCTTTAAAAAAATCCCTTATACATATTAATTTATTAAATATTTTCCAGGAGGCAAAGAAGACGCCAAATACAACACAGCTGAAGCCAAAAAAGAAGGTCATTTTAAAAACGAACACTCTGTAGATAAAGCAGAAGGTGACCAAGGAAAATACGGCGAACAAAAATTTGCCGGAAATGAAGCCACATTCGGTTACAAAAATGGAGCTGACGAAGAGAGCCTTTTGGGTCATCAAGAGTCTAGTAAATTTATCAAATCCCAGCCTTTTGTTATTCCTTTTTATCAAGCATAGAAAACTAATAGGAAAATTAGCAAATTGAAACAGTATTTCTAAAATTAATTTTATGCTTTCTTGAGAGTTGAGATATCTAATTTTTAATTAATAATAGTTGCTCTAGTTTTGTTTGTTTAAATGTCGCTAAAAAGAAACTTGATTTTCATTCAAATCATAGTGCGTTACAATCAAAATCAATTTTGTGGTTCATCCATTTTTTTCTTTATCTTATTTACCTTCTTTTTTCTTTTTTTTTTTCTCTTTCTTTTTCTTCTTTCTATCCCTCTACTTACTCTGCTTCTTCCTCTTAATCCATTCTTATGTTTCTATCTTGTGCGGCTTCATTAATTTCTTTATTTCTTCATTTATTTAAGATTTATTGAACGTAGATAACTACTCAAATGTTGAAAAAGACGCTTTGTGAATATGCATGTTTGTAAATTGGGCTATAAAGATTGTAAAAAACAAGAAAATCAATTTTGAACTTCGCTAAAACAGCAATTACGAGTAATTCAACTCTCAAAACAGTATAAAAATTAAATGAATAATTTACAAAAAATAATTATTAGTACAGTATCTTTTTGAATCTAGAATCGCTTCTATTGTTTGGTGATCAATTCTAACCAGAAGCGAACTAAAATCAAAATTCACAATTATTATGGAACAAAACTGAGAGCAACTAAACTAAAACGTTACTTTTCACTAACACCTTATTAGTAATTCCGTTACTTCTTAAAGTGGACGAAAAATAACAGTTACTTTGTTATAGTAACGCGTTACTGCAAAAGTAAAAGTGTACCATAATTTTGTATTCATTAGTTTTCTAAAGTAACATGTTACTGAAATTTAGTTTCTTTTAAAGTAACGCGTTATTTGTAGTAACGGGTTACCTACTGTAAAGTAACGCTTTCTTTCAAGTAAGGCGTTATTTTTAGTTAGCACGTTATTTTTCAGCAACGCGTCACTTTCAAAAAGTAACGAATATAAGTATTGTTATTTTTTTAAAAAAAGTGACTGTAGCCTTTAGCAAACGCCTTACTTTGCAACGTTACAAAAGTAACGATAAAGTAAAGCGATATATTTTTTGGTAACCACTGTATGGAATTAGTTATTTGTTTGAACGTCCATTTCTGTAATGTATTGTGATTTCTTTCTAATGAGTTTTTTTTGTTTTTATTTTTAACTTTTGTATATTCAGTGTTTCTCAAATTCAGTAACAATAATTTATTATAAATGTTAAAAAATAGTGGCTATAGATTTTTTTTGTAGGTATAGGGTGGTATATTTTGTTCCTTAGTGTTCAAATTAAAAACTATTTCGTCAATAATATTGATTAGTTTTAGATATTATTCTCTAAAATTTTTCAAGTTTCAACGATTTGTTTTTATGTATAAAATAAGTAATTCTTCAATTTCTGCCATTTTATACTTGCTGTTATTCAGTTTTTTTTATCAATAATTTAATTTATTGGTTAATTTGTTAAGTTTATGTTTAGTTTTAAGTCTACCGATTTGACTGATAAGTGACGATTTAAGCATGGACCTGGTATGCTCTCTTGTTGATTTTTTTACGCAATAAAAATGTTTGCATCTACTTTGTTTTTATTTAACCTCTAATATAAATTATTTTTTATTTTATCAAATAAAATGAGCATAAAATAGGAATAGTGCCGCTAAGAAAAATACATTCGCTGCAAATTTATTGCAAGCTTACAAATATAAATGCAATTTTCCTTGCAAGTTTGTTAAATATTTATTGATAGCTTACGGCAAGTTTGAATCTACCTCATTCTAAACTTTAAAAATTAAACTTAATATGCCATACTTCTTGGAAACTTACGAAATTAAATTATTGTTAACAAAAAATTAAAAATTTATTTAAAGTTTCAGTTTAAATATTATCTAAGAACTTTCATTAACGAATTATATGAAAATTTTTAAAATCACGCTTGACTTACACTGTTAAATTTAAACTTATATCAAACTTACCATTATAAATACGCTTTAAACAACTCTTAGGATTTCACTGACTCTATACCAGGTATTCCATTATATTTTAAATCTTTCTAAAACCTTGTTACTTTTAAACTAGTTGAAATAGCGAAATGCAGTTTTCACAGGGTCTTCTTTTAATTTTTATAAGTTTTTGTCTATGTACCCATCGTTTTTTGGTCACCATTTGGCTTAAGCAGAAATTACATTCTGTATTTTCGCAGATAGGGTAACTGTTATTTCGATTTTTTTTTCTCAATTCAATAGCCCATTGTTTGCCCTTTCCATAATGCCATAATTTCATAATTGTTATGAAGGGTAATGATTTTATAGGCTCTTAAAAATAAATACTGCATGTTATTTTCATTGTTTAATAAAGTGGTAAAGTGGACAAATAGGTTTAGATTAACAAAATATATTTCTAATAAATCATATATCAACAAATCCTCATACTAAAGTCCAGCACTGTAGGTTTTCACCGCTGGCTTTCTTTGATGCTGCTGTAAAAGTGAAATAGCCGAAAATTAAAATAACTTACACTATAACTAATTTCCAACCTGTGCGACTTGGAGCCATCGCAAATTGTTTCGCAAAAAATACAAAAATGAGAAAAATAAAAAAAAAATAATGTAGTAAAGTATTTTTATTGTAGGTATACCAATTAAATTTATGTTTTTATATAAGACATCTTACAAACATTCTTAAAAATGTATATTGGAATGAAAACAAAATTCCGCCAATCAATTTTTATCAGTCAAAACAAAAACTTGCATTTTTGTTTACAAGTACAGCTGCAATTAAATTTCCTTATCATTTGAATTAAAAACCGTACATTATTCTAATTTTAATTCGAGAGACGCTAAAATGATGGTTCCCACCTTATCGAGACTGAGGATAAACAAGGGTAAACTCTGAGCGTAAAAAAAACGAGAAATGATTTAATTTGGAACGAAATACCGAAAGCCGATAGTAGTATTAAGACGTTGAATGTTTTGGTTTATGAAGCATTGGCATTATTTAGATTAAACCATGTGATGATTTTCGCAAGCCTTGATTTTTAAAACTATTCTATATCGCCTTTTGATTAGGGTTTACAAACTTGTTCGAGCAATTTATCCAATACAGGGGCGTGCGGTCCAAGGAAGTGGGGGAAGCACCGCTTCCCTACACTTTGAGATTTAAAAATGAATATTTTTCAGTTTACAATGCATAGAAATTAATATTAAATTAGGTACTATATTTTCTCTGAAACATTACGTAAACTTCGTAAATGAACTAACAATTCATTGGTGTAATGTGTAAACGCACGCACAACTCATGAGAAAATTAATTGTGTAAACGCACACCATATACTTCGAGTCCGTCGGCGGAAGCGCCCCTTGAAAAGCCCGCTCATGTTCCAATTGATTCCGCTTGCCACGACAGTAGTCAGTCTGTTTGTACATGTAAAATACGGTCGAGAGGCAGCGATTTTTACGTCGCCTTACGTCTATTGCAATTCGCACTGCGAATCGATGTGTGAGGAAAATCGTAGACTTCAGATAGATTTCGGTTTGTTTTTCGTAGTTGTTTTTCTTCTTGTAAAATGGAGGAACTATGCACTGTGTCTGCGAGCAATAATAATGTGGTAATGTGTCTGTATTGTGTACTCTTTATTGAAAAAAGGATTTTCAAGTAGAAATTTTGAAGAGAAAACGGACATTAATAATTCTAGTAGACTAAAGGATCCTATCAATTTAGAGACGAAAGTAGAAAAGTTAGAAAAGAAATTTACCAGGTATTTTCACGTAGGGTTCTATGAAAAGTATGAATGGTTAACCGGCTGCAAAACTTTGAAGAAAGTTTTTTGCTTGCCTTGCCTACTTTTTAATATAGCCGAAAAAACACATTAGAACTCAGTCGGTATTACAGACTTGATTAATTTTCACAAAAGTGTAAAACGACATGTAAATAGCAACTCTCATATAAGTGCTACAATTAAAAAAAAAACATTCAGGACCTATCGCATTGAACATAGTTTGGACAATCATTTAAAAATAAGCAACAAAATTCACAATGAAAGGATAAAAAAATAGGGACGTCTTACAACGAATAATAGATGTAACTTGTTTCCTGGGAGAGCATGAACTAAGTTTTAGGGGTCACAATGAAGCAAGTGGATCCGCCAATCGAGGAAATTACATGGACCTTCTAAGTTTTTTATTAAAATACGATGATACCCTAAAAAATCATTTTATTGATTCGACGACTTTCCGAGGTACCTCAAACAAAATCCAAAATGAATTAATTAAATGCACTGTCGACGTTGTGATGGATCACATTAAAAGTGAAATTAAAAAAGCACCTTTCGTATCAATTGCGCTTGATGAAACCACAGATGTAGCAAACTTAAGTCAATTATCCATTGTTGTGCGATATGTATTGGATGGCATTCCTCAAGAGCGATTCTTAGGATTTTTGGACGTCACTAGCGAACGAACTGCAGATGCATTGTTTAAAATTGTTTGTGACATTATTTCAAGTTTAGAATGTGGTTCTAAGCTTGTTGCCCAGAGCTACGATGGTACTGCCGTAATGGCTGGCCATTTAAGAGGCCTTCAAGCTAAAGTGAAAGAGAAGTTTAAACATGCAATTTTCGTTCACTGTATAGCACATAGACCTAATTTGGTTTTATCGCGAAGCATGGATAATATTAAAGATTGCAAAGTTTTCTGTTCGACGCTTAGTGGTTTGGCTTCCTTCTTTTCAAAATCATCGAAAAGAACTCGCGCTTTGGACATTCACGTTCAAAAAAGGTTTCTAAAAGTTGCTCCGACGCGATGGAACTACAATGGACGTTTAGTGCAAACAGTGTTTCAATACCGTGATTCTTTGATACACTTTTTTCAATACGTTTGGGATAATAAAGAAATATGGGATGCTGAAACTGTTACTGCCGCTAAAGAGTATTTGCATTGGCTCAAACAAAATATGATTTCAATTTTTTGCTCAACATTTTTGCAGAGATTTTCCCTTTTACTGACATTTTATTCGACATTTTACAGACAAAGTCAAATGAGATTGGCTTTTGAATTAAACAAATTGATGATTTTAAAAATAAAATGAATAAAAAACGAGATCAGTTTGAATAAGACTCACAATATTGGCTTAGAAC